CCTTGCGTTATGCGGGCCTCTCACTGTTGTGGCCTCTCCCATTTGCGGAGCACAGGCTCCGGACGCGCAGGCTCAGCGGTCATGGCTCACGGGCCCAGCCGCTCCGCGGCATGTGGGATCTTCCCGAAACGGGGCACGAACCCGCGTCTCCTGCATCGGCAGGCGGACTCTCAAGCACTGCGCCACCAGGGAAGCCCTAGACTTTATTACGTTTTGAGTGAAGTTTTGATGTGAATATTTTTAGTTTTAAAATGTTGGTAATAGGTATAAACTGGATAACTAATAAGAACCTACAGTATAGCACAGGGAACTCTACTCAATACTCTGTAATGACCTATATGGGAATAGAATCTAAAAAAGAGTGGATATATGTATATGTATAACTGATTCACTTTGCTGTACAGCAGAAACTAACACAGCATTGTAAGTCAACTATACTCCAATAAAACTTAGTTTAAAAAAACGTTGGTAATAGGGAATTCTCTGACGGTCCAGTGGTTAGGACTCTGAACTTTCACTGCCATGAGCCTGGGTTCGGGTTTGGGTTTGATCCCTGGGTTGGGGAACTAAGATTCCACAAGCCATGCGGCGTGGCCAAAAAAAAAAAAAAAAAAAAAAAAAATGTTGGTAATAAATTTAGAAAAACAAACAGACCTGTAAGCCAAATCAAGCACATCCACCACCTGGATTTGGCAGTTCCCTGAGACTGGGGCCCAGTGATAAAGGGGTCACTGCCCTACCACACGGCCCTCCCTGCCCTGAAGGGCTGCTCCTGTGGCACGGCCTAGAGACAGCCTGCCCGGCAATGACAGCCCAGGGACACGGGGTGTGTGATCCCACGTCAAGAAGCCCAGAGTCCCTGGACAGGGGCAGACGGAGGTGTCTATTTCTCTGTGGAGAGTTTGGCTGTCCTGGTGGATCCTGGGATGTTGGGAGGGGGACATGGATGGTCTGGACATAATGAGACCTTACTCAGGGTGTCACTGGCACTTTTGGTGTGCAAGATACCCCTGCTGCAGGGTGGCCGGGCAGGTGGACATGTCCTTGGGAGGCCAGCCAGCGGCACCACCAACATCCAGAGACTCAGGCGGCTGCCATGTCCTGACCCCGTGGTGGAGACTCACCCGGTTGCCCTGCGCTGTGTTGTCCTGTGTGCAGTAGGAGACCTGGGACTTGCCATTGTCCAGGATACGCCGGATGATGGGGATGCGGGCCACGTGCTCCCCGCGGCTGACCAAGTACTCAGGCTGCTCAAAGGACACGATCCCGCTGGCTGCAAGGAGCCAGGCACTGGTCAGGGGTCTTGGCCACAGTCCCATCTCAGCCCCCGCCCTCCCTGTGGCCCAGCCCGGCCCAGACTCCAGGAGTCTGCTTGTCACCCCTCTCTGGGGAAGGGCCGAGGAAGGGGCTGGAAAAGTCTTCCAGGAAAAGTTGACAAGGCTGGAACCGTGTCCAACTAACATCTTGGAAGGGTCAGGGCAGAGAAAGGAGGCTATGCAGGGGCAAGACCAGACATGAGAGCTGAGACTGAGAGCTGAGGCAGAGTAGGCCTAAGTCCTGGGGTCCTGGAGCAAGTGGGGAGGAGGGGTCAGGGACCAGAACAGACCCTCCGGGCACCGGAGAGATGGTTATCAACAAGTCCAGGTTCCCCGAGGAACTAGCAGGGAAGGCACCGTGGGTGACAGTGGTGTGACGCCTTGCTCACCCCTCTAGATAGGCTTGGACAGAGGGAGGCCCCAGTCCTCTTCCTGCTCTGATGCCCTGCCATCCTAGGGGGGCCCCATTCAGTCTCCCAAGTTCAAAGGCCATAGGGGAAGAACAAGGAGAGAGGGATGTGCAATGGCTCCAGGAGGACGTAGCACCCTTTGGTGATTATAAGAGAAGCTCCCACACTGAGAGCTTACTACCAGGCACTGTGCAGAGATTTACAGCCACACACTCCTCACAAGAGCCTGATACCCATTTTACAGATGGAGAAACCAAGGCTCAGAGGTTAAGTCACTGGCCTAGGCCACATGGCCAGGCCCCACTTCCACTTGGATTGAGGAGGAACAAGGGACCCCAGAGCCTCCCTTTTGGCCCCTGTGTTCCCCCCACCCTGACCGACCTTGCTCCTTGATGATGGTGATGTTGACCAGGCGGCGGCCGAGGGTGGCAGTGCCCACGGGCACGTCGATGGCCTCCACCAGCAGCTGCTTCTCATCATCGTCCTCAGGCCGGATGAAGAGAGGCACCCGCACGTCCACCAGCTCCACACCCTCCTGGAACTCCACCATGCCCCGGGCGTCTGGGCGGGCGGTGGGGAGCCGTCAGATGGGGGTCAGGGGGCCGCATAGGGGTGGGAGGTGAGAGGGAGGGGCACAGGGAGCCTGGCCACCCACCCTGGTCTGCAGTGAGGGTGTAGTAGCCAGGGGCCACCTTGAGCTCGTGGAAGGCCCCCTGCTCCACCTGCTTCTCCGTCAGCTTCAGCAGGGCCTGCTTGGCCGAGCGGGGCGCCATCAGCACCGTGTCCACAATGGTGTGGTCCTGCCTGGGGGCGGGGTTGGGTGGGGAGGTGTCAGGCTGGCCAGGAGGCTGGCACTTGTCCCGCCCCGCCTACCTGTCCTCTCTCCATCAGGGGACAAGATTCCAGGCAGCAAAAAGCAGTCATCAGAACCAGACAGTCCTAGAGGCCCAGGCTGGTCCCAGCGTGGTGGGCCACCTCACTCTGCAGCTTCAGCATCCTCATCTGTGAAATGAGGCTACTACTCCCACCCACCTCACCAAGAAGGGCTGGTGAATCAAAAGTAGAGTCAGGACAGCAAAGATGTGAAGGGTATAGGCCCTGAAGCCAGACTGCCTGGGTTCAAATCCTGGCTCTATATCTTAACAGCTAGGTAACCTTGGGCAAGTTACTTAAGCTCTCTGATTCTCGGTTTCCTCAACTATAAAATGGGAATAGCAATGATACCTACTTGGATAAGATAACCACACACATGAAGCCCTTAGAACAAGGCCTAGCCCGTTGTAAGCACTCAAAATGCTGGTCTAAATGGTTCTTACTGAAGGTGATGTGCTCAGTGAGAGCTGTATTCTGTTACTGCACAGTTCTGTTCTCTCTGCATGCTGTTCCCACCCCCACTTTTCCCCTGGTGGGGCTGGGACTTGGGGTAGGAACTGGGAAGGTGGTGTGTCACCCACTGGACCATCTTCTTGGCACCCAGCAGTGCCTCCAGGATCAAGGCCTTTGGCGTCGGAGGAGGGCTGCAGCTGGGCACCGGGCTATCCCGGGTACTGGGTAGGGGGCTATCGCCGGCACGAGGGCAAGGACTGTGTCTGCTTGGTTCCCTGTGGTTTTCCTGTTCTAGTACGGGGGCTGGCTTTTGGTGAGGGCTTCATACTGGTATTTGCTCAGTGAAGGTCCTACCCAAGGACAGACACAGACAGCCCTCCTTTCCAGTGAGATGGAGATGGAGATGGAGATGGAGATGGAGATGGAGATTGGGGTGGGGGAGGGGGCAGAGGGGGCAGGTACTTGGGGCTGGTACTACCCCACCTATGTGTCTTCAACTCACTTTTTCCCGGCATTGGGCTGCTGCCTGTGGAGGACAAAGTGGGGAACGTGAGCCAGGTGGTCCCTGGGGTGGAGGCACGATCTGCCTGGGGTAGATCCCCTGGCGTTGGCTATACGGGCAGCACCCTCACCCAACCCCAGGCACCCAGGACCCACCGGAACTTGGTCTGCTGGAGCTTCTGCGCGCCTGTGATATGCCTGTACACCTCGTTCAGCTGCCAGGCAAGGGAGGGCTGTGAGGCTCGGGCCCTGGGGGAGCCTCTCCACCCAGAGCCATTCAGGCCCAGAGGACCTCTCGGGGTGGGCTGGGGGCGTGGCCATGGGCACGCACATTGCCTCTACCCTTCTGGAAGCATTTACAGGGAACAGATCCCAGGATGATCCCAGGCCAGGCACATGTCCAAGGAAGCCCTTCTTTCCTGCCCAGGAAAATCCAGGTTCCCCGGCTGCTGCCCTCTGCTCTCCCGCCACCTGGCTCACACCCAGCCCAGAGATGCCAGCTGCCTATAGGATCGGCTTCTTTGGCCCTTACGTTCTGCTCCACTTCCTGGCGCAGCTGGTCACATTCTCGGGTGCCAGGCTTCAGTAGGTTCTCGGTGCAAAGGCGGGCAAGGCGCAGGGACAGCCCGTAGAGCGCTAGGGGCAGGCAGGAAGGGGTGTCGTCAGCCCCCTGCACAGTGGGCACCGAAGAAGCCCCGTCCAGGAGCCATGCTTGGATAGGGGAGCACCTGAGGCTTATAGCACCATCAGGAAGGATAGAAGGTAGCCAGGCCTGTGCCTGCACCCAATACCCAGAGAAAATAGGAATGGTGTGATCCCAGACCCGGGAGCAGCGGTGAATGTGCCCCGGGCCCCAAGGGCAGCACCAAGACCTGCGGTGCCCAGCCCTGGCCCTCACCCAGCTCCGTGGGGTTGATGCCGGCAGCATGCGAAGCAAAGCCAGGCCGCTGCACGTTGTTGGTGGTCTTCCAGCGGACCGTGTCGCGCCCCTTGAGGTTCCCGCTGCGCAGCATGGGCGTGTCCAGGTGATCCGAGGCCATCAGGTTCGCCCGCAGCATGTAGTGGTCTTCCTTGAAGCCCACCATGTGACCTGCAGGACAGGGTCCTCACACTGGGCTGCTCCCTAGACCTTCCCCACCACACCCCTGCAGGTGGGACCCCGGGGCCTCCCGTCTCTGTTCCAGACTCGGCCCCCGCTTCCCCTCCACCCCAGCTGGAAGAAAGAGCGGGCAGAAGCCCGCCACCCTGGCTGATGCTGGTCCGTACCTTGGTTGCAGCACGGGAGAAGGGCCAGGCAGGCCTAGGAGACAAGGTGGGTGAGGATGAGAGCTGAGACAGCCACCCCAGCCTAGGGAAGCCCCTTCCGCCACCACCTGCCACCCACGCCAACGGTCCAGAGGGGGCAAAGGTGCCTTCCCAGACACCAGGATATTCAGGCAGCTGCAGGGGTCTAGGTGTGTGGCACACAAGGTGGGTACAGAGGGTGATGGAGCAGCGGGTTCCCCAAATGTGTGCCAGGGGACCCTGGTCCTGCTGTATACTCTGGAAAGTAAAGGTTCTGTGATCAAACCCATTTGGGAAGCACGGAATTCCTTCCTCTTATAGTTTCACTCTTCATACAACTAGATCAAAGGCTCTGAGAAGTCCTACAGAGAAGAAACCGCTTTCTCAAATGTATTTGATCACAGAACTCTTTTTCTCTGTAACACACACTAATATCCCACAACGCTGGGGGTTACTGCAGAGTATGGTCTCTGCTCCCTACAATTCAGTATCCCATGCCATGCCGTCCTCCATGTTTTCCTGTCTCCTGTCTTTCCTCCCCAGTAGACTGTCAGCTCCTGGTGGGCAGAGCCCTTCCTTCCCTTTTAGCTCTCGTGACCCTTTGCACGTGGCTGACCCCCGGGCAAGGGCTCCCAGGTATCCAGCCACTGATGGTTGGCAGAGGTGAGAGGCTGGCGTGGGGAGGGCACCAGGGCTGGGCAGAACATGTAGGTTCGCTTGGCCTCTGCCACCTACAGGGACCCTGGTGGTGGGGGGAGACCCTGGGGGAGCCCCCACCTTGCAGCAGGCACAGTGCTTCCAGCAGAGCAGCAGCAGCAGTGCCGGGAGAAACAGGAGGAACACGAGCAGGGGAATGAGCCACCAGAAGGTGCCGGGGGGGCAGTCTAGGGAGGAAGGAGGAGGAAGTCGGTGCCATTTCCCCCACCGGGGTCCGACAGGCCACCCACGCGCCCCCGGCTGGCCCTCCAGCTCACCCTTCCTCCTCTGCACCAGGACGGTGCTGTTGGGCCCGGGGGTGCCATCACCCTCCACGGTGTAACTGTACGTACAGTCGTCATCCTCGTCCCGGAAGGAGCAGTACTCCACCACCTCCTCCGCTGCACCCACAGACGGTCGGCAGGGCACCCAACCCCACCCCGGAGCACATTAGGGCCTGGTGAGGTGGCCGCTCCTCACCACGGCCCTACTCTGGGGCCCACCCCGCCCATCACAGGGTGGGAGGCACCTCCATGGGGAAGAACGCAAGTTCCCGGCAAACTGTGCATACAGATGGGGCAAGGTGGGGGCTGCCCTCCAGGAGCGTCAAAGGCTGCAAATCTGTGCCCGTCCTGGGCATCGCTCAGGAGCTGGGCTTCTACAACGTTTTTCTTTTCTTTTTTTTTTTTTTTTTGGCCACATGTGGGATCATAGTTCCCCGACCAGGGATCGAACCCATGCCCCCTGCAGCGGGAGTGCAGAGTCTTAACCACTGGCCCGCCAGGGAAGTCCCTTCTAGAACATTTCTCTGACCTAGAGGAAAGGAGGCTGTGTGCCCCCACAGCCCAACTATGTGCCTTTGCCATGTTCATGGCCCTACCCAGCTCTTTGCCTCCTGCCCAAGCCAGTAGCCATCTCCCCAGGTCTGGGTGCCCTGGACAGACTGTGTGTCCCCTACCTGGGTCTGTGTGACCTGTCTGGGTTCTGTGACCACTCCCAGGTCTGGAACCCCTCTTTCTGGACTGCATGTCCTCAGTTTGGATTATGAGCCCCCTACCCAGCTCCACAGCCCTGCCCAGATGAGAGACACCAACTACCCCATCGGAAGCCCCCCTGCCTAGTCCTCTCTCCCTGCCCCATACCTTTCTTAAGCTCATCCACCATCTTGACCTTGAAGCTGCACTCCTTACACATGTGCCCCTTCTTTTCACCGGTGCCCCACGCCTGGCACTGCACACAGGAGCGCAGGTCCTCACAGAGGCCCAGGCGGATCTGGGTGGGTGAAGAGGGCCAGACGGGCACTGTGTTGGGCGGCGGCCCCTGCCAGGCCCGCTCCCACCACGTCACACCCTTGGGCAGCTCCTCTGGCACCAGGCTCAGCCCCTCTTGTCCATCTTTGCCCCGTGCCTGGGGTCCCCATGCCCATACCCAGTGAATCTGGCCTCACCGCTGAGTAGTTGATTTCGCAGATGGTGTCTGTGTAGAGCGACTGTTGGTTGCAGTGGCAGCGGCCACACTCGCAGTAGCCACGCCCATTACAGATACCCTGAGTCAAGAGGAGGCACCAGTGAGCCAGCTGTGCCCCCACCCCTGCCTGAGAGGGAGGATGGTCCTGATTGGGGCCCCCTCTACCGCCCCCCACTGTCTGCCTCATGCCCAGGCCTACCCCGTTGCTGTCAATGCAGGTGGCATTGCTGAGAGGACAGTCACAGCTCAAGCCTGTCCAGCCAGGCTCACACACACACTGGCCCATGGAGCAGCGTCCCCGGTCTGCAGAGAAGGGGAGGGGAGAGGAGAGGCACACTTGCACCCGCAGTCCAGGCTGCCCACTGGCTGGAGCTGCCTTGGGAGCTAGGATGTCTCCAGCCAGGGGCAGAGCCATCTCTTCGCCGCTTTCTTGGAACTCCCTTCTCTCCATTTCTCCTGCTCTATTGTGCCCTTCTACCTTCCACTCTGCAGCTGGGGTGATCATCCCAAAACACAAAGCCAATCATGTGTCTCCCCTGTTTAAGAACCTCTACTGAGTCCTGGCCAATGCAACAAGGTAAGAAAAAGAAATAAAACATAAGTTTTGGAAAGCTAAGAGATGAAAAACTGTCATCATTTGCAAGTATCAGAAACATGTCACAAAATAGCAAGAAGAATCTATAAATAAGTTATTAGATTTCATAGGTGAGTTTAGCAAGGTGGCTGGATACAAGGTTAACATATAAAGAGTTAGAAAATGAAATTAAAAGCACCAGTGAGGATTTCCCAGGTGGCGCAGTGGTTAAGAATCCGCCTACCAATGCAGGGGACACGGGTTCGAGCCCTGGTCCAGGAAGATCCCACATGCTGCAGAGCAACTAAGCCCGTGCGCCACAACTACTGAGCCTGCGCTCTAGAGCCCACGAGCCACAACTACCGAGCCTGCATGCCACAACTACTGAAGCCCGCGTGCCTATACCCGTGCTCCGCAACGAGAAGCCACTGCAATGAGAAGCCCATGCACCACAATGAAGAGTAGCCCCCGCTCACCGCAACTAGAGAAAGCTCGCGCGCAGCAATGAAGTCCCAATGCAGCCAAAGATAAATAAAAAATAAATAAATGTATTAAAAAGAAAAACACACAAAAAAGAAACACACCAGTGACTCCCTTTTTCCCAAAGGATGAAGTCCAATATCCTTACTAGAATAGGGGTTGATTAACTGCAGCCTGTGGGCCAAATTCAGCTCACCACCTGCTTTTGCAAAAGTGTTGTTGGAGCAGAGCCACACTCATTTGCCAATGTATTGCCTATAGCTGCTTTCTGCTACAACGGCAGAGCTGGGTAGTTGTGATGGAGACCATATAGCTTACAAAGCTGAAAATATTTAATGTATAGCCTTTTAAGAAAAAGTCTGGACTAGACTAAAACTGGACCCATCCTGGACTGGAACCCAAGCCCCTCGCAGTCTGGCCCTGCCTCCTTCCTGGCTGCATCTCCCTCCCCTCCTGTCTCAGCTTGGCCTGTGCCAAATGTCTGCCTTTCTCCAGACGTCCTGGGTTGTCCCTTCGTTTCTCTAAGCACACCCTGGGGTGGGCAGGTGAACAGAAGAAATGGCAGACAAAAGCAAGAATGGAGGAAAGGGTAGAAAAGCAGGGTCTTGACCCCCCGTGGCAAGCATACAGTTGGGGCTTCATAAGTATCTGGCGAGTGGATTTTCGCTCATTTTCCTCCATTTACCCACTCAGTACTTCCGTATGGGCCCCTGTGGGTTCTGTGACCCCTGCCCAGCTCCGGAAGCCCTGACCAGCCAATGTGCCCATGGCCTGGGCCCACACTGTGTTAGGCCCTGTACGGCTACAGAGGATGCATTACTCCAGGCCCCTGTCTGCTAGAGATGTAGCATCTTCCAAGAGAGGACAGATCGCCACGCCGTATACCGCCGATCACTGAGGTTGAGCTGGGTGGTACCCACCCTAGTGGGATGGGAGAGTGGAGGAGGGGGTGGGCACGGGCCAGAGGACCTCAGGGGGACATTCCACAATGGGGACTTCATGCTGGCAGGGGCCTTGGGCATCAAGTTTGTGGAGGAGGAGAGAGGTCCAGGCTGGGGCTGGACTTGGGAGAGGCACTCAGGGAATCTGCAGGAGGGCCGGGCCTGAACATGGGGGTCCCGACTCCCAGCGAGGCTCTCCCAACATGGGTTCTGATGGCAGAGCCAGAGGTGGCGGGCAGGGGCTGGACGCCCAGGCCACCCTCTCGGCTTCACCTAACCTGGGCCAGTAGCTCACCGTTGCAGAGGAACCCGGAGGCACGGGGGCACTGGAAGTTGTCGTATTCACAGAATTGACCCTCATAGCGGCCGTCGCCATAGCACACGCAGTGGCCGCACTGGCACTCGCCCTGCCCCGAGCACAGCTTGTCCTCACCCTCCCGCTGGCAGGGCGCCAGGTCGCTCAGGGAGCCAGTGGAGCAGTTACAGGTCTTGCCACTCCTGTGGGAGAAGCCAGTCACTTCTGCACGGCACAGCAGGAAGGCTTTCACCATCCCATTTTACAGATGAGGAAACTGAGGCTCTAAGTGGGCCCCTGTGGGTCTGAGTTACGTAGACAGCAGGGGCTGAGCTGAGACTCAAACCTCAGTCCCCTGAGACCCTCCCCCTGTCCCTTCCTCAAGTCATGACAAACTTATTCAATGTCTTGAAGCTTGAAAAGCCCTTACTCTTACTAACATTCTCTTATGACTCCCTTCTGCTCAGGTAACAGGTGCCCATGGCTCAGATACTAAAGGCCCAAAAGGGATGGAGGGTAAAGTACGTCTCCCTCCTGTGTCCGACCCACAACACCCTAACGGCCACCACTGCCCTGATTCTTACACGTATTTCCAGAGGTAATCCTATATATCCATATATTTCTTTTTATTTTTTGGCCGCGCCATGCAGCTTGCGGGATCTTAGTTCCCTGACCAGGGATCGAACCCGGAGCCCCGGCAGTGAGACCGCTGAGTCCTAATCACTGGACTACCAGGGAATTCCCATATCTATGAATTTCAAAGTGCTTTGAACAAAATCCACCTGCCAACTAGACATACCCCTTTCCTAGCCCTTTCTATGACCAGCTGCCAACCCACCCTCAGCAGCCTACTTGGTGTGCCCAGCCCCTGCTCTGGGAGCTGCTGGCATCCTGGATGCTGGCTTCACCCTCTCACACTCACCAGCCCTCATTGCACACACACTGTCCACACATGAAATCCCCGTTGAAGCTGCAGTGAGATGACCGCTTCTCTTTTTGCTGGAATGAAATCATGGTGGGGTGGCTGGGGGGGTGAGGGACGCTGGACGCTGCCCCTCAGGGAACCCCGAAAGGGAGTTGTGGCCACAGGATGCTCTGCTGTGTTACTCAGGGCCCTGGGGTGGTCGGCTTAGCCTCTCCCTCCCTCCGCGACCTGGCGGGGCCGCATCATACCAGCTCACAGGAGCACACGTCACAGGCGATGTTCACGTCCATCTTGAGGCCATTGGAGAAGGAGGGCTTCAGATGGATGTTGCCCTTCTGGTCCGCTTCTGGCAACTGGCACACGTGAGTCCCGTCCAAGTCCTCGACAGCCCGCAGCTGCACTTGGTATGTGCCCTGCAGGGACCCCACTGTCAGACAAGGCATGTCTGGACAGACCACCAGGCCCTCAAGCTCCAGGGATGTGTCTGGCCCCTGACACCCAGCTCCCTGCCCGCCCTTCCTCAGGGCTGCGAACTTGCTCCCTCCAGGCACAGCCAGCGTAAAAACAGCACCAACAGTAACCAGGGTTGCTTTTGGCCCATTCACTCATCTTAGCAACCCTGAGCTCCAAGCTGATTGGTCTCCACTTTACAGATGAGGACAAGCTAAGGGGCTGATCCAGAGGGCTTCAAACCCAGATCTGACTCCGGAGGCCAGGCTCTGGACCTCTGTTCCGGTAGACCCCGCCCCGCAGGGCGCTGTGCCCGTCCTCCCCTGCCCCGGGACCCCCACGGAGGCACACCACTTCCCCCCGCCGGATGAGAAAGGACCCAGTGTTCGTCTTCTGGAACATCCTGGAGGTGACCTCTGTCCGCAGGCCTCGGGGGCTTTCCAGGGCCCGGATGTCCAGGTTGGAGCGGATGCGCTAAAAGAGAGCAGGCGATCAATGGCCTGGGGGTACCCCGGGCTCACCCACCCTGGCCTGGCCTGTCTGTGCTGCACTCCCACCTACACGGAGGCCTGGGGTGCTGGCGGGGGGCGGGGGGGGGGGGGTCAAGGGAGAAGAGCCTGCAGGAACCCGGGGCCAGGCCCAGGGGGCACTCCTCAAGGACTGCAGAAGACCCTTCCTCCCTCCTGTCCTATTTCCCAGTCCTCTGCCAGTCAGCCTTCTCTCCAGCCCCGCCCCAGAAAGGCTCAGACTCCAGAGCCCTCACGTTGAAGGCATCCTGCAGCAGATCCACGATGTTGGAAGAGTCCTCCTGCAGCACCCCCAGTGAAGAGACAGGAAAATACGAGGACAGCTTCTGCAGGAGAAAATGCCAGGCCGGAGCTCAGCTTCCCACAAGTGTCATCTCTTTGAATCCAGACAACACCTTTGGGGTTCGCTCACTTGGCAGATGGGGAAGCTAAGGCCTGGCACCTGCTGTGCGTTCCAGAGCCTGTGCTCTTAGCCCCCACCTGCTTGGGAGGGGGGCTGGGGAATGGGCACGTGGACTCCGCTTCCCACCAGGGCCCATCCCAAGTTTTGGGAAGGAAGGGAGGAAGGCAGATGGGGGTGTCTGAGAAGTTCCACAGACGCTCCCACCTGCCCCCATCCTGCCCAGTGAGGCCCTGGCCCCCGCACCTCGTAGTAACTATAGGAGTAGTTGGTGACTGCGAAGATGGGGATGATATTGTGCTGGCCGAGCAGGCGCACCAAGGTGGGCACCGACGGGTAGTCCTGTGTCCTGTACTGGGTGTAGGTACCCGTGGTGTCCAGGTGGCACTCCTCGTCGTTGCGCCTCATGATGCCAGCCAGCACGTTGGCGCCATCCGCCTCGTAGTGGAAGGCCGACTCGGTAGAGAATACCAGCAAGTGGGTGCTGTCGGGGCGCCAGCCGATGTGCCTCTGGGGAGAGCGAGGAGGGGTGCCCGTGGAGCAGGGGACACTCATCACAGCGCCGAGCACAGTGACAGCGAAAGCACGTCCCAACACAGGGCTCAGTGAGGACACAGGATTAACAGCCTGACGCCCCCATGAATGACGCATGTGACAGACAGCACATGAGTGATGACGGGGAAAAACAGAAACCAGTGATGGGAAGTGGGAAACAGAAGCAGGGGCTGTGCCCACAGTGGGCACCACGCAAGATGTAAACCAGGTTCATGCAGCTGTCCCCACAAGGTCTTAACCACTCTGTGAGAATATCTCAATTGCACAGAAACATGTACACCATGCAGCATTCAACGGAAGAGTTAAAATAGGTACAGCAAGCAGCACGTGGCAATTTGTTTGAGAAATACACGGGATGATTTTGAAAACCATGTATTACAAGAGAAAATGCTTATGATAGCATTAGGTGAAAAAAAAAGCAAGTTTCAGAACTATACGTACACTGATTCTAACTATATAAAATAAGGAAAAGGGAACAAAATATGCTGGTGGGGTATCAGTGGCTGGCTGTCTGATGGTGGTGAAATTATGGGCAATTTCTGTTCTTTGTTTTCCAAATTGTCTGTAATATGGATACATTATTTTCATTTTTATTTCTTATTTTTTAATTTTGTTTTATTTTTTTGGCCACGCCATGTGGCTTGAGAGACCTTAGTTCCCCGACCAGGGATGGAACCTGGGCCCCCGACAGTGAAAGTGCTGAATCCTTAACCGCTGGACTACCAGGGAATTTTCTTGTCTGTGGATACATTATTCTTTAAATGAAAAAACTGATGTGCACATAAAAAGAAGTGCCCTCTTCCAGCACAGTTGGAGATGGGTATTAACAGGGAGATTGGGTGGGAGGCTGGCCTCAGGGCACTGAAGATTCCAGAACCCCAAGACTCATGTCCGCCTCACTGGCCAATACAAAACCAGGATGTGACTGCTCAGGCCCTGATACCTCTAAACTTGGATTGGAATTGAGGGTCCCCCAGTGGGTCTGAGCTTGTCTTAGGGGATGGGGGCCCCAGCCTGGTACCAGAGCAGGCCAGTGGGCAGCTCATGCCCTTGTTGAAAAGCACAGCCGGGTCTAGGCCGGCAGGACCTGCCCCGACACTCACGGTGCACACGGCCGTCTGCAGGATGGCATCGAAACCTCCTTCGGGGGCGTCCAGGTTGCCTGAGATCCGCTCTCCCTTTAGCTTGTTCCGGAACTCCTCCACATCTTCCGTCAGGCTGATGACGTTTTTGAAGGAGAAGGGGGGGTCACTGTTGGGCCAGGGCTCCTTCAGCCTGGGCAGAAGTGGGAAGGAGAGAGTCAGGGAGGGAGAAAGTCAGGGGAGAAGCTGCCCCCAACCCCCTGCCCACCCTCTCTAGGGACCGCCCCCGTGGCTCATTTCAACGTGAAGACTTCGAAGTGCTTGGGTGGAGAGGGCGTGGGCCACCTGTCCAGGACCCCTGCCCCCTCGGTCACTCACTTCTCGGGCCTCATGTCTGTCTGAGGGACGCTAACTTTGTCCACGAACTTGCCAAATCCAATCGTGTAGTCGCTGGTGAGCTGCCTCAGGACCTGGGCTGGGCATCAACAACAAAAAAAGAGGGGGCAGCTGAGCCCCAAGAACCCCACAACACAGGGGCCGGGGTCTGGCTTGGGAAGGAGGAAGAGGAATAACAACTTATTGTCAACACTTTGCCTGTTGGGCGTCAGCTCACGCACATGACAGCCCTTGTCCTTATTTACGGATGAGGGAAATGGGACTCGGGGGACCCAGAGTCGTGCATGCAGCTAGTTGGAGGGTGCGGCCGGGGAGCTGCACCAGCCGTCTGCAGAGCTGGGAATTAACCTCAGCCTCATGGCAGCTGGTGCCTTCCGTGTCAGCAGCAGAGGAGGGACTTCCTTGGCAGTCCAGTAGTTAGGACTCTGAGCTTCCACTGCAGGGGGCGTGGATTCAATCCCTGGTCGGGGAACTAAGATCCCACAAGCCATGAGGCGCAGCACATCCAAAGAAACAAAAAGGACCAGAGGGCTCTGGTTCCCACCCGGCTGGGGCCTTCTCTGCACTCCCAAGTGGTTATTGGGGTCTGCACAGGACCCGCCTCTGAGAATGGGGGGAAGGAGTTCTTGGGGTGCTCAGATGTCCTGTCCTTCCTTGAGGAGTGGGTGCAGCTAGCCTGAGCCCTGGCCTCCTGAGCAGGTGCCCAGCCAGTGGGGGGAGGCCACTCTCTCCATGCCCTGCCCTGCTGTCTTCTGCGTCATACCCAGATCCTGCCCCATCTTCTTGAGGCTGTCCAGATCGTCAGACATGGAGTTGGAGAAGTCCATGAGGATATACAGGTCCACGGGGCTCTCCAGGGGCTCAAACACCTGCAGCTCAAAGCGCCGCTCCTCTCCCGGCCGCAGCCGCACCCGCAGCCCCTGGGGGGACACCTGGCTGCGGTGCAGGGTGGTGTCGATCTGTGTTTCCTGTGTCCAGGGGAGAGGGACACCTGGCTGGAGGGTCTCTCCAGATCTGATGGAGATACCTCTCAGCTCAGCCAGGGGACACGATAGCCTCCTACAGACAGCCAGCCTTGAGCTTGGAGGGCCCAGCCCCCGCCGACCCCGACTCTGGGCACCTCTGTGATCTCGAAGCTGCTCTCCATGACCACCATGCTCTCCTGCCGGCAGCCCGCAGCCAGCAGCTCCTCCTGGGTGTTGCAGCGCCGTTCCTTGAACATCTGGCCGGAAGGAGATGGACTCAGGAGGGCAGTGCCCATCCCCTGGCTGTCCTAACCCTGGATTTATCCTGTACCCCACCACCCCGATCTTCCTGACCCTCGCCTGTTCTCCCACGACCGCCCGGCCTGAGGCTGGGCTGAGGGCGGGGCAAGTGTGAGCCAGAGCCCAGGCGTGGGGTGTAGCAGGGTGGGGCACGCAGGTTGGGAAGGTGGCCCAGGCTAGGCCCCAGAGGCATCGCACCTCGTCCGTGCAGTAGGCGCAGTCTCTGTCCACGCGGATGCACTCCGTGCAGCTCTTCACCTGGGCCTTCTTGCAGCGGTTCGCTGGGAGCAGAGATGGGCGTGCCCACTGAGATGCGCCTCACCCACTGCCAAGCCCTTCCCTTGTGCATCCTCATTTGAAAGAGGTGGGGATTCTCTCCCGATTTACAGAGGGGGAAATGGAGGCAAGCAGGTACGTGGTCAGTCGCAGGTAGCACAGCTAGAAACCCGCAGAGCCAGGTCTCAAACCTGGACTCTCCACTCAAGTCTGGAGGCAAGGATGGTGGGGGCCGAGACTGAGGCGCTGGCGGGGACACCCTAACCACCCCCTTCACCTGCTCCTCCAGGGTAAAAGGGATTCTGTCTTGTTTATCACTGTGTCCCCAGTGCCTAGCCCAAGCCCCGCACACAGTGAGTTGTTAGTAAATGAATGAGGTAAAACTCCAGTTTCTCCAAAGGTTGGGATTCCCTTTGGTTTTGTTCAGTAAGGACCTATTATGTGCACTAGTGGGTGGTCTCCTGGGCTCCAGGCAAGGGTGCACTGTCAATGTTTAGCAAGGGCTCCGGTGAGGGCGGGGAAGCCCTGACTTGCAGCCTTTGCCAATTTCCAGGGTGTAAATGTTCCCACCATGGTCTATTTCAAGCTATCGGCATGACCTCCACTGACAGGCAAAATTTCATCAGTAGGAGCCGGCTCCAGCCCTTTGCCGACTGCAGACACTCCCAGAGCAGGTGATGATCACCTTTCTCTCCTCCAAATTCCTCTAAAACTTTTCGACTCAGCTTTCCAAGCCTCAGTACATCCTGCGAGAGCCTCCATTCTCTGAGTGGACGTCTTCTCCCTCCTCTAGACCAAGTCTCCTTCCTCCCCTGGGTGTTCTTGGGCCATACGGCTCAGGCTCATGGCTCCCCAGCCTTCAAAGTGGGTGGTGGTTGTTTGCTGAATGGCTGAGTGAGTGTCTGGGTAAGACACTCCATGAGAGCCCCCTCCCTCACTTAAGGGCAGTGCCGTGGAAGTTGAGCCCCCGCCACAGAGAGGGGTGTTGCAGGGGTGTGTCCGACTCACCCATGTCCCCGGGGAAGCTGGCGCTCAGCAGGGCTGCCAGCAACAGCCTGGTCCACCAGCTGGGATGCGGCCCTGCCATTCTCTTCCTCCTGTATAACAGCAACAATCGACATACCATGCCTGACAGCTCTGGCCCATGTGTCAGCTCACTGGGTCCCTGTCTAAGCTCCATCATTCCCATTGCACAGATGTAGAAACTGAGGCTCTACAGAACTTTAGTGATGTTCCAAGGCCACCTGGCCTGCAAGTGGCAGGGCCCAGGGCCCCTGACTCCTCTTTTCCACTGCCCCCTTCCTTGTCGTCTCTGGAGTGGCCAGATGCCCTGCAGGCCTATGCCCTGCCCAGGGAGGCCCCCACCCTCTCACCACTGAGGACTCTGGGCTCTGAGCCTGTCCCAATGCCAGGTCTCTTGTGCTGATCTACCCGAGGGCAGAACAGGGCTTATTCCGCCTTTGCCTTTCAGACCCCAGTGGCCTGGGTCAGGCTTGGCAGGGACAGGGCCACCCTAGAGGGTCCTGGCTCCGCCTTCCTGTCCCCTCTCTGTCCTGGCCCACTTGCCTCTTGGTGAGAGGGTGCAGCCAGGAAGAAGGGGGCCCCTCCCAATATCTGGGGCCTGAGAAAGGAAGGAGGAGGCTTGTAGCACTCAGCTAAGTTCTGCAATGGTTGCCTGTCCCATCAGAGGAGGGGTCCCCACCCTACTCCCCACCTCTGCCTGCCCCAGAGTTGAGTTTTGGGGGCCCCTGAGCAGATCACCCTTTCAAAAATTAGCCTGGAGCTGGATTACAAGCCCCTCCTGCCCACTCACACACACACGCATTGCCAGCCACCCCAGGAGACCCATCTGCCTTTGGTTCACCATTAAACCATCTCAACTCATTAGTGACCTTCGGGGCAGGCACCGGCATCCCTGAGGCCTTTTAAAAGATGGGTATGGGGACTTCCCTGGTGGCACAGTGGATAAGACTCTGCGCTCCCAAGGCAGGGCGCCCGGGTTCGATCTCTGGTCAGGGAACTAGATTCCACATGCATGCCTCAACTAAGGAGCCCATGTGTGGCAACTAAGACCGGGTGCAACTAAATAAATATTTAAAAAAAGAAAAGAAAAGATGGGTATGTACAGCAAGAAACAACATTATAAAGCAACTATACTGCAATAAAAACTAATAAAAAGCAAACAAATATGGCTTCCCTGGTGGCGCAGTGGTTGAGAGTCCGCCTGCCGATGCAGGGGACACGGGTTCGTGCCCCGGTCCGAGAGGATCCCACATACCGCGGAGCGACTAGGCCCGTGACCCATGGCCGCTGAGCCTGCGTGTCTGGAGCCTGAGCTCCGCAACGGGAGAGGCCACAACAGTGAGAGGCCCGCGTAACGCAAAAAAAAAAAAAAAAAAAAAAAAAAAAAAAAAAAAAAAAAAAAAAAAAAGCAAACAGATAAATAAAAGATGGGTAGCCTGCTGAAGAGAAGGGGCTGGCCATAGCCACCAGGCCTGCAGAGTTGACATTAGGACCCCCTCCTCTTTCTCTAGAGCCAGTCACCCAGCAGCCCAAGACTATGCCATGCCTACTGGCCCTCCCTCCTTAGGTCTTTGCTCAGTCCTTGGCTGAGGGGCAAGGGAGGGGCAGCCCCAGGCTCTGGGAGACTGAGGCCCCCATATGGCTGGGGAGAGCTAGGCGGTGGGGGGGGGGGGCGTTGCAGGAAGGCATTGGCTCCCAGGAGGCAGTAGCAGCTCCAACACATTGCAGGCAGAGCCTCCTGGGAAGGAGCCACCCTCTAAGAGGAGCCTGGGGTAAGGGAGCCCTGAGCCAGCTAAGGGGGTGCTTCTTGGAGGAAATGACTTTCCTGCAGCCTTGGGGCACAGGCACCACACCCACACACTATACAATATAGGCTGCTTACCCAGGCTTCCCAGGGGCACCATTACATACACAGGTACAGACACTGGAGGGCCCAGCCCAGCTTTTACTCACCCTCCTGTGCCCCCAGGCTGGGCACACAGTGGGCAAGTGCCCAGCACTTCATGTACATAATTGCCATTTAATCTGTACAGGAACCAGTGGGGATGATTGCATTGTCCCCATATCCCGGGTGAGACCCGGGCAGCACACACCCCCCATTTAGCCTTCACTTTATATTAGGAGGCTCTAAAATGGCAGCTGGGGACTAGTTATGCACTCAGGAGTGTTGTGTTTGACTCAACTTGTGTTTAAAAAGTTTTTTGATTTTTTTTTTTTTTTTGGCCTTCCTGCACAGCTTGTGGGATCTTAGTTCCCTGTCCAGGGACTGAACCCGGGCCCCGGCAGTGAAAGTGCGGAGTCCTAGCCACTGGACCACCAAGGAAAATCCCTAAAAAGTTTTAAAAGTAGTTGTTGGTGTTAAAAATAATAAGGTTTCACATAAAAGTTAGGATTGTGGGCTTATTGGAAGAGGTGGCTGGCCGTGGAGGGCTGGGCAGAGCCCTCAGGAAACGTTCTCTCCAGGCTACTCTGGGGTCCCAGGCTGCAAGGGCCTTTTTACGTACCACCCGGGTCCCGGAAGTATGTGATTGCCACCAGTGTTATCACAAAGTGGCACACTCAGGCCTTGCAGGCACAGGGACATGCATATTCTTGGACACACACTGTGACCCACATGAACATAGGCTCAGCGTTCTCCCCATACCCGCCCTCCCTCCCACCCATGGGACCCCTGTTGCATGTCTGCACCTGCCCTTCCTGCTTTCCTGGCCCTTCTGCTGCTCTATTGCCCACAGAAATCAAGGCCGAGGAGATAGGCACTCCCTCCCTGCTGTCCTTCCGGCTCTCCTTTCCCCACTCAGCCCCCAGGATGGAGCCCCTCAGTCTTCACTTCCAGCTCCTTCCGAGGCAGCAACAACCATGCCCACCCTTGGGCTCAGGGTGTGGCAAGGCCATGGGGGAGAAGCAGGAGCCCTGCCGCTGCCCTCTGGGAGCCACCTAGAGGCCCCCCGCCTACAGCCAGAGGCCCACCCGGGGCTAAGGGGGTGGGAAAGGGGGCTGGCTCTGGAGGAGTTTACAGTGGTGGGCACAGCCTCCAGGGCTGTTGGATGAGGTCAGGAGAGCTTCCTGGAGGAAGGGCGTCCTGGGCTGACTTTGGGAGGAGGGCCAAGAGGAGAGTCAGGGACTCCCCAGACCCCAGACGGACTGTGGCGTCACACAGCCAAGCCGGGAGGGCCTCTGCCTCTAGGTGGCTGCTTCTTTTTTGAACCCCAGAGGGGCCCAGCCCAGTAAGCCTGCCGGCCACTGCCTGGCCCCTGCCCACTTCTCCCTCATATCCATCCAAGGGCCGGGCGGCCAGCCTTCAGGAAGGAGAGCCGGGGAAACAAAAGCCACCCGGCCCACAAATCAGCTCCCCGCGGGTCTGCCCAGTTGGGGTGCGCGCTCACTTTCTTCTCCCCTCGGAGGTCCCTGAATGGGCGCCCAGCCCCGGCGGCCCGAGGCACCGGAGGGGCGTGCGGTGTGCGGAGGGACTGCCTTCCCGCCCCGCGCCAGTGCCCCGGCCGCCTGCCGCGGTCCGAGGATGGACCTACCTTGGGGCTGACTCGCGCCCTCCCCGCGCTGGGCTCCGCTCGGCGGCTCCGGATGCGGCGCGCGGGCGAGCCTGGACTGTCCAGAGGGCGGGCTGCAGGGAGGGCGGACGGCGGCGGGAAGGGGACCGCTTTATGGGCTGGGCGGCAGGTAGGAAGGAGGAGCTGATGAGTCAGGCAGACCGCATTCCTG